TTTTGTGTGTGCATTAAAAAAAACCTTTTTTTTTTTTTTTTTTTTTTTGCCATAGGGCATGTGCACTCGCCAGAAAGACAGAGGGAGATGGAAAGCGAGAAATCACCCCTCAGGGGGAATGGCCATGCCACAATCCCTTCTCCTCCATTCTCCTCTCAGGATCTTGGACATGTATGCACACACGCCGGTGTGAGTTTAAGTCACCGGATCCAGGACTCGAACCACAGTCGACTAAATGGGAGTCCAGTGACATAGCCATTACGCTAACTGCTGGTCCCCGCAACTGCTGTTTTTAAAAGCAATGAGCACATACATATTCATTGTATGGTATGTGCTGTAAATATAGAACTTCGAGAGAAGACATCTTACTTAATTGGGTAGGTTTCATCTTTCCTCCTTTGCTTCTCGTGATCGGGAAGTGATTCCCAGCCAAATGAAAGGCTCCAGTCAAAGTTTCCACGGTTATGGTTATTTCCATAAGGAGAAGGCTTGTTGAATTCAAACGTGTTCAGGTCTATGGATGCAATATCTGGACTCACAACAGCAGTGTAGTTCTCAGCTATTCTGGCCAACAAAGGTTCCAGCCAGCCATAGAAACATTCACCTGGAGAAAACAAGTTTTTAATTAATTCCATAAAAACACTGAAGTTTTTTTTCTTTTTCTTTAATTGTTTGTGTGAAGATTTACAGAGAAACGAGAATAACAGTCCTTTGTGTTGTGAACATTTATGAAAGGGCGATCCCACTCATCTTTACTAATGTATAATAAGCAAATAAAAATGCTATATATTTGTGGCATATACTGTAAATATATGTATGTATTTGATATATGTATGTATTGTGAAATGATGATCATGGACAAGTTAATTAGCATATCCCCATCTCATATGGTGAACTTTGCGTGCATGTGTTTGTGTTGAGAATATTTAAGATTTACTCTTAGCAATTTTCAAGTACATAATTCATTATTATTAACTACAATCACCATGTTTATAATAGGTCTCCAGAAAGGGAGATTTCTTAAAGTTTCTTCAAAAGAGTAGGATGAACAAAGTAAAGGAAGATTCAGTGTAGTTAGGGAAATGCCCCCACAAATGACTATCTTTTATTTTCTCTCTCTTTCTTAGGGAAAAAACAAAATTATACTGGCATATGTAAGGTTAACTTAGTTAAATTTATTTCCTCTTGAGTAAAGTGAGTGGTGGAAATCCTCATTTCTCTGACTGGGTTTCAGGAGAAACTAAGTCAAGGAGCAGAATATTCTGATTTTAGTGGTCAAAGAAGGACCATTCAACACTGCCTCAGCCCTTATGGAAAGTGGGGTCAAGCAGTTCCCTAAAAACTCTGGGCTCTGGTCATAGGCCAGGCTGTCTCATATAACACAGAGCAAGTTCAGGCAACGTACATGAGGTTCTACTCTGGGCTTCTCATTGAGCAGAATTTGACAGCCCTGGTTCAGGACCATCAGACACATTCACTTAGATGGGTGAATGCCCATTCTCACCTAATTGTAGCTCCAAGAGAAGGAATACTAAAGAATAGTGCTTTCCACTGTAAAGACACCTCTCTAGAATTATCTTTAGACTTTTCGCCTAAAAAAATAAAAATTGTCAGAGGGCCCATGCACTCACCAGAAAATGAGAGAGAGAAAAGACACTTCTCATCCTGCATGTGGAATGGTTACACTAGAGTCCCTTCTCCATCTCTGCCTCTTTTTGGGATTTTGGGTACACACATGTGCCCGATGTGTTTCTTAAGCCCTTGGGTCCAAGACTCGAACCATGTAGTAGGCTATAGCTGGTTCAAGTCTCCTCATTTTTTAAATGCCTGGTATTAATAGAGTTTGGATGTAGTGACTCCAAAGGACTCAGGCACAACCAAAAACTCTTCTTACAACAACTAGAATATGCTCTGAACCAGTGGTTGAGTTAAACATAATCTAAGGCCTGGTTGGTCCAAAGCGGAAGATTTATACGGAGTAAAATCCACTGAACTTAAAGCTCCAGAGACTAAGTGGCAATTCCATAATAACTGCCACACACATTACACATTGACTTTAAAAATACTCTCTAATTATTTATAAAACATTGACACTGTTAAATGTAAATAAATAAATTATAAGATAAAAACAAAACCATTGACACTGAAAAAAATTAAAATACAAACAAAAAACCTAACAGCAATAAAAACAGACAAAAATTGACAATATTTATGGAAGAAATACTACAAGTTGGGTGGAGTCACCCCTAACTTAGCTAAGTAAGAATTTGCAAATCTTTGGGGAAAAAAGAAAAATGGCAAAATATAAAATCAAAGGTAGCAGTACTAGGACAAAGTTCAATGATAGGGTTGATTACGCTTAAATAAAATTTCAATTATTCACAATTGCTAAGACATGGAACCAACCCAAATGCCCACGAACAGATGAATGGATTAAAAAGATGTTGCATATATACTCTATGGGATACTACTCAGCCATAAAGAACAAGACCCTGGCTTTGGACAGAAAGTAGATGGATATGGACGATTTACTGCTGAATGAGGCAAGCCAGGCGATGAAGGAGAGCCATTGTATGCCTCACTTAATATATACTGAGTGTCTGCACTCTGTGGCCGAAACTGAATGACTAAAGGTTATTGAAACTAAGTAAATGACTGTGAATATCAGATACAGTGTAGGAAGAGGGCAGGTGACGGAATAGAGTCTGAGGAAGGACATTAGAAAAATAGAGAGGCAAGGCATTTATGGGACAAAGAAATAGATTATAATCTATTGTAGATAACTTTCTAGTATGGTGAGCTGGACTGGTGAGAAATGTACACATGCTGGAATATTCACTTTGTAAACTAAGTAACATGATAGAATGTATGAAAGAAATAGAAATAAAAAATAAAAAAGAAGAAGAAAGGAAAAAAATATAAGAGTCAAGAATAATAAGGAGC